CTCAGCGGTCCCACTTCTTCTTTCTTTGCTTTCTTCCTGTTTATGTGGCTGTATTTTTGTTTTGTGGGAAAGGGTTAATCACTTCCCTATTCATTCCCCCCCCCCCCCCCACCCCACACACACACCATTCATGATTTTATAGAACTTCTATCATAGCTTCCCCCTTAATTATCTCTCTTTTAGCTAAACAGTCCTAATATTTTTAGTGTCTCCTCGTATGGAAGCCATTCCATACCCTCGATCATCTTTGTTGCCCTTCACTGAACCATGTCCATTTCAACTATATCCTTTTGAGATGGGCTGACCAGAACTGGACACAGTATTCAAGGTGTGGGCGCACCATGGATTAGTATAGTAGTTAAGCTAGCAGTAAATATTATTGGGTTATTTAGGTTAAGGTTATTAAAGCTGTAAATATCCTGAAAATAACCTCTCTAGAGCATTATAGCTAGAATAAAATGTTTGAAAGTGAGGAAAACTTGGAGTTGAGATTCCACAAACAGAGCATGCACAGCACTGTTCTTTATTCTGTATAGGTTGTTGTACTGTGCTCGTCACTGTAGTATCTGAGCGCCTTCCAGCAGTACAGTGGAAGCCATGTGACGACAGGTCTGTCGCGTGTTGTTTTTTCTCTCAACCCTCTCGCCAGGGGAGAAGCCTGTGCAGTGGAGTGTCTTGTTTTGGGAGGGTTTTAGGTTTTTTGAAATATACGTGTTGCTTTGTATTGATGTTAGAAGGCTGGTCAAAGAAAGTGCCTGCGCTTGGAGCAGAAGGTGGTGAGTTTTGTGATGGTCCTTAATGCACTGATCCATGTGTGTTACAGGTCCCCCTCTGGGCCTGATCCGGGGGAAGATGTGTGTCTGTTGCAGCCCCACCTTTGGCACCTTGGCTGTTCAGCTCAAGCTGTAGCAACTCCTGCTTTCAGCCGCTGAGGTTCTCAGTTCAATCCCTGGTGTGTCAGCTAAGATGGCAGCCAGGTTTACAGGCCTAGTGTCTGGGAGTAGGATCCTGTTCTTGAGGAACCAGGCACTGGTAGCTCTAGAGAGGGTTAGCAGAGAGGGGGTCTGCCACTTGGATGCTTATTTTACATTCATCTCTTACATTCCTCTCCTTCACTTTAAGTAATGCTGCCAGAGCTTTGCCTTGGACGTGCAGCATCTCTTCCCCTCAATCTGGCCTCCACCTCACCCTAGCATGGGTGATAACTGTGATGTCCTGTTTCAAGGAGCCATGTGATGGGGGGCTTGTCTCAGTTGAGTGCTACACAGTCCTTGAGATGAGGTTCTAGGTACTGATGGTTTCTCTTTGCAGACTGGCGAAGGCGTGAACGATGTGAGGAAGGGAGCTTGTGCCAACCATGTCAGCACCGTAGCAAACTTCTTAAAGGTACAGTCATGTTTTTATGATGATCTCCCTGGACCCTCCCTTTGCTGTTGTTTGGCCTCCCTATTATTCCAGATCTGCAGCCCTGGCTTTTTGTCCTTCCTGCTGGGAAAGGCCCAAGGGAGGTACAGCAAGTATTGCAGGGCTCTGGCCACTCCGTATTTACAGCCTGGGATCTTCCCGGGTGAGCATGGGCTTCTCCTGGAACAGAAACACAGCAGAAAGCCACAGCAGGGTGTGTGTTAAAATGCCGTTGGCACTCAGCTGAGTCCTCTTAACCACCTGTGAAGTGAACCTGTTGAGTATCCCGTGGGGGCTTGTTGCTGGTAGACACGTTCTTCTAAGTTTCTTTGAGAACCAATGTATTTTAGGGGGTTTCCCTGATGAAAAATAGTTTCTGATGGAAAAAGAGACCATACACGAGGGGAGAGCTACAAACTCGCATTCTCTCTTACGTTGTGAATATTTACCTGTTAGATTAACCGTTCCCCCTCATATCTGGCAGCCCTTTGAGCTGCAATTTGTGGGCAAATGGCTTCTTTAAACCCTGCTTTCAGGGCAGTAACGTGTCATGTCTCCTTCTGCCCTCTCTCTCTTTCAGTCCCTTGATCTTGGGGTTTGTCACGGACTCACAGATCATGCCCACTCTTGGCTCCGTGCGGTCCGTGGGGGGTGCCCCTTTTAGTGAGACAGCCCTTCTCGGGGGTCCACTCTCTCCCGGGGTCAGGCCCCTCCACCTCCTGGATCCGCACCTCTCTGAGCCTTAGCACGTCTGTCTCTGCCGTGGGCCCCCTCAGGGAGTCCACTCGCTCTGGACCCCCGGGGCCTCCACCCCCGAAGAGGTTGATGCAACCCTGTTCTCTAGACCGGAGTGACTCTCAGCCAGCATAAAACAGGAGGGTTTATTGAGAGTTGAACACAGCACAGGAAACTCTCTGACCCTCAGGCCTGGCCTCCCTCAGCACAGCACATCCCAGTCTCCCTGCATCCAGGTGGGCTCTGCCTGCTTCCCCTCTCCAGCCCCGAGTCCCCCTGCTCCCAGCTGGGCATCTGAGATCACCGGCCCCAGGCCCCGCCTCTGTCCATTGTCTTCTCTCCAGGTAAACAGGGTCGTAAACCGGGGCCTCCTCTCCTGCTTCTGTCCTCTGGCTGGAACCGGCTGGTTAGGTCACTGGGTCCTCACTCTGCAGCCCATTGTCTTCCCACTGGCCAGAACCGGCTGCGTCTCCTCAGCTGGGCCTCTGGGTCACCAAGTCACTGGTCGCTGGGGTATCCATCCTCCCGGCCATCGGCTGGGTCCCCACGTCCTCTCTCCAGTGTGTGTGTGCAAAACACACTCCCTCTCCCCTCACCTCGTTAAACCAGTAACACCCAGGGAAACTGAGTCCCACCCCCTCTGCATGCAAACCATTGAAACTCCACAGAAAACAAGAAAAACCCCCACTTCATCACAGGGTTCCTTTATCCTTGCTGTTTTAGATTCAGTATTGAGTCCAGAAACTTGTGGCTCAGGTCTCTAAAGTGGAAAGTTCAGGACAGCCCAGCATCCTCGTCAGGAGCTGGAGGAGAATGGGTGACAGCAGCAGCCTGACTGTGCCACTTCACACTCCATGAAGTGTGGGACCAGATCTTAATGGCTCCCTTTGCCTCTCCCTTCCTTCCCCTCTGCGGGGTTCGTACAAAAGGCAGCCAGAGGGATTGGAGGCCTCTGTTCCCATAGGAAGTGTCTGCCCCACATGTGCAGTGGTGAAATCAGGCCAGTCTGCTCTCGGGTCACTCTGCGGCAGTGTGCGTCTTTCGGCAGAAGGATGTCGTCCTTTAGCCCTTGGAGTCGTCGTCCTTTAGCCCTTGGAGTCAAGTTTCTCCTAACTGTGCTGCTCTTTTTCTCTGCCCAGGGCGCCCATGTGACGATAAATGCTCGGGCGGAGGAGGACGTGGAACCTGACTCAATCATGGAGAAAGTTGCCAAGGCTTCCGGTGCAAACTACAACTTCCATAAAGAAAGTAGCAGGTTCCAGGATTCAGGCCCTCAGACGCCAGTGGTGAGTTCCTGGGACCTTTCTAAGTAACCTTTGCACCCCTGGGCTGCAGGGACAGCAGGGATCTAGCTGCCAGTGTCTCAGCTGCACGGCAAATAGGGCTGCTCAACTCTGATCCTGGTGTGACGGTGCCCTTGTCCTGGAGCTAGCCGTGGTATTCTTCATGGCCTCACCCTCTGTATCTCAGAACTTCTTTCTCTGGAGCTGATGGCTAGTGCCGGGGCGAAATGAGAGACCAGCCTCAGTGTATTCTCAAGTGTTGTCTTGTCTGTAGTGACTCCAAAGCAACAACACTGGAATTCCTAAAGCACCCCTCCCAAGACGTTAGAGTTCACGTGTGTTAGCTCACAAGAAGAGCAAATTCTTTTCAATTTCAAACATCGATTTTTGCGCTTTCATTTTTCAAACACTGCACAAGCATCAGCTCATCTCAACACTAGAAAAGAACCACACACGCAATACGTCAGGGTCAGGTTGCTGACCGTCTCAGCTTGGTCACTGAATGGTACTTTCTTGATCTTCTTAATCATCTGTGTCTTGGTGCTGTTTCATTGATATTTGTGTCTGTCTTCCTTTCTCTTGTTATTGAAGATGGTTTGCTGATCCAGTGATGAGCTCTCAGCTCCTTAGCTTCTGCCACATGGCAAGGTGGGGCCAGGGACTTATTCTTCAAATATCTATATATTTACCACTGTCTTTTTCCTTTTGGGTAATTTCCCTCCCTCATCCTGCCAGTTTTGTCTGTCTCTAAAATGCAGCTCTCAGATTACAACTTCCTGTCTCTCTCTGGGCCAGACTTCAGGGTCTGGCTCATGCGGAGTCATAAACTGGCTTTCAACATTCCATTGGGCTTTCCCTTTCCAGGGTTCTCTCCAAGGTTGGGGAAATGTGGAGACCGCATGGCCGGTTGTACAGAAGCAGGCACTTAATGGTCCTGTTGAACAGTTTTGGGCGCACTATCCTGGGAGGGGAACCTGAAAGATGCTGGGCTGTATTGCCAGTCTGCTGCAATTTTCTGACAACTAGATTCTGATTATATACAGACTGCCTCAGCTGTGTGCGTCTCTTGTCCATCTCCAGGGTTCTGTCTACCAGAAGACAAACGCCATGTCTGAAATCAAGAGGGTCGGTAAAGATAACTTCTGGGCCAAAGCAGAGGTGAGTCCCCGAGCATTGGATTGGTGAGGGAGGCTTGATTTGGGTAAGGTGTTTGGATTTAACGTGAGCTTTTTTGTCACTAACTGCCTCTTCCTCCCCTTCCTAAAGCTGGGTTTTGCTGACTACTGGATAATGGATTCATGGCATGGGAAGGGTTTGTTCTGCTTTAGTGGGGGTGGCTGTTTCCACCTGCTGCTATAGAAGTGACTGGAAAAAGTATTGGGGACTGTCCTGACTCCCGCCGGGTGTGTAAGCAGAACCCAAAATACAGGAGTGAGGGTGGAAGGAAATTGTGCTTCAGGTGAAAATTAACTGGAGACATGTCAGTTTTCATATTTAGGCAGCTCATCTCTGTGTCACTGTCCCTCAAGGTCTGTCTAGATTCTTATTTGGTCCTCATCTCATAACACCTGAGAGCTTCCAAAATAACAATAAGCTCTGTTCTTCTTTCCCAGCCTTTTGACTCATTAGCTTGGGGTGTGTGTGTGTGAGAGTGAGTGAGTGAGTGAAGAACTTACTGAGGGGAAGCCGAATCAAGGAAGGGCTCTGAATATACTGAGGTTTGTGGTCAATTCTCTCTTGTAGCAGTGAGTTCCGTAGTCTGGTCTAGCTCCAGCGAGAGTCCTGCCCTCTCGAGGCTCCCACTGATGGTCAGCAGGTTCATGGATGAAGTGGGGTGTAGCTGTTGTGGGAGGCCATGGCTCTGGAGGGGAAGGTGTCTCTTGGGGAAATAGGTCGGATCCCAAGAGGGCCGTGACTACGGAACCAGTGCGCTGAGTGGAATGCTGCGGCGGGTTTGGTTAAGCAGTCAGGCTGTTGCAGTCCTTAACGGGTGTTTGACTCATCCCTGGATCTAAATCCCGAGCTGTGACAATGAAGCCTGCAGGTCCTGGATGTGAGCATTTCCGTGGCCAGGGCTGTGTCTGATGGGACAGTCTCCTCGCCAGTCCCAGCAGGAAGTGGGCATATTTTGTCCCACTGCCTGTTGGGGCATGTGGTAGCACAGAGGAATCTGAAAACCAAGCTAACAATCTGAGGGCAGGTGCCCTTGACAGTGGGCGATGTTACAAAGAAAGCAAGTTCTCCAAAGCCTCCCCGCTGCCCAGTCTGGCCTGGGCTCAGCTTGGCCAGCTGCTCTTTCGATTTTGACTAGGCACTGAGAGAGCAAGGCAATGGTGCTGCTCCATTTGACACGGAGGACATCTGGAGCGGGGGGTCGTACTTGTCCTGCTGGCACTCAGGCCTATGGTGTCTCAGCAGCCCGCCAGTGGCTTCCTGTAGGTGCGGGAGAGGACAGAGCCTTGTGGGGCTCCACTGATGAGGGTGTTGGAGGAAGGGTTCCCCATAAGGACCCTCTGGGTTCAGCCTGAGAGGAAGGACCAGAACCACTTCAGGTCATTTCTGTTCCCTCCTGCAGCCTCTTGGATATGTGACAGGCGCATTTGGTGGATGGATGCTGTGGAGAGGGGCAGCAGGATGTGAGGCTGGCTCTGGATAGGTTAGGCCATCTACCAGAGCAGCCAGTGCTGTCTCTGGGTCCCAGCCTAGAAGCATCCAGGGTACTGCCAAGTAGGGTGGTGTTGCAGGTCTCTTGTGCATTAGCTGCTCAGGGCAGGTTTAGAAACCAGGCTAGTTAAATCTGCCTGCATACAAAGTATAAACCAGCCATGAGCCTGCCTCGGAGCAGGAGGCTAAACACTGAGGACAAGTGATGGTTTCTTCAGTCCTGGCCAGACGGAGAAAGGATGGTCCAATGGGTAGGCAATTGCACTAGGTCTTGGAAGACCACGCTTCCATTCCCTGCTCTGCCACAGACTTCCTTTGAGTGTCCCAAGGGAAGTCACTTAGCTGCTCTGTGCCTCCTCTGTAGGATAGTGACCATAGCGCCCTGCCTTACCTCATGGGAGAGAGTGTGTGTGTGTGTGTGTGTGTGTGTGTGTGAAGTTAAATGTATTGGAGGTTATCAGGTGTGCAGATACTGTGGTGATGGTGGCCGGATAAGTACTTGAGTGATTTAGTTAACAGGGTTGATGAGGTTAAAGGTTAGCCTCGTGAAGGGAGGTGGTGACAATCTCTGTTAGGGGGTGACTGTGACATGGACACTCTTGCAAACCTCCCACCATTATTAACTTCACCCATGTTCAGTGCTGGGAGCTCCCTGGGTTGTCAGCACCTGCAGATACTGTTAACGCCACCTGCGTTAAGCTGCTCTGAACAATGCTAATGGTTCCTATGGGTGTTGACAACCCATCTGCCGCAGAGAGCTTCCGGTGATACCTGTAGTGGAGTTGAGCCAGTGTTAGCAAAGGAAGGTTGGTTTGGGGGAATGTTCTCTAGTGTGGACACCCTGGAAGCAAGAGTCTGTTGCCCAATCCTTTTTAATAGTCAGTAGTACTTGTGTTGATGGCCAGTTGATCTGAAGGTAACCAGGTTCTTGTCCCAGAATCAGGCTATACAGAACTGAAATCAATGAGTTCAGTATCGCGTAGGGACCCTTAGGATATACGGCAGGGACACTCACACTGAGGGCAAAGGAAAGCCTTCACAATTTGTATTAAAATAAGGAATGAAGCCAGAAAAGCTCCAAGCCACAATAATAGATGGGAATAATCCAGTACTGGGGATATCTGTGGTATCATTCGTTGCATAAGCTCTTAGATTTACATATTGCACCCTTCCTTGAGGACCTGGTGGTAAGAGACAAAGAACCAGCCTTGTCTCTGGCATGTCAAATGAGTCCGATGGTCCAGGTTCCTCAATGCTCCAGACTGATGGTAGCTAACAATAGAGCCGAAGAGACAAATGGAAAGCTAACAATGGAAAAGCGCTCTCCCTACACGGTGGTTTGCCCTATTATAGAGCCTGAGCACCAATCAGGAATATTCATGCTATTACTCAGCCTGCCATGCCCAAATCTCACCTCCTCACCCTCATCATATTGGGGTGCACTTATCCTATAGGTAAGGCTACGTTTTAGTCACGGGTATTTTTAGTAAAAGTCATGGACAGGTCACAGGCAATAAACAAAAAGTCACAGCCCTGTGACCTGTCCATGACTTTTACTAAAAATACCTGTGACTAAATCTTACCTGCTGGGAGGGGGGCACTCCTGAAGACTGCTGCTGGGAGGGGCAGCGCGGGGGCTCTGCTGCTGCTGGGGGGAGAGGGGGGAGGGACGGCCCAGGGCCATGCGGCTGCTGCCCCCGGACCGTTGCTCCAGGGCAGCACGAGGGACCAGCTGCCTGGGACTGCCAGAGCAGCGTCTGGTGCAGCTGGCTCTGGGGCTTCCCCAGCTGCTGGGGTGATCCTGGGGTCAGCCGCACCAGCGCTGCAAAATTCACGGAAAGTCATGGAAGCCGTGGTTTCCGTGACCTCCGTGAATGATTCGCGGCCTTCCCAGTAGGTTAACAAATTAATCCTCATTATCATACCCATCCCTTTGTTCTCAAGCAGTTTTGTGGTTCTCACTTCTGTGTTCCTGTGGTTACCGGTTACCGTTCGGTTCCAACTCCTGCTGTTCAGCTAGCTATTCCTAGTTCCCCAAAGCTAAGGGTAATTGTCAGGCCATTTATCTATGACAAGGGTAACAGGCCTACTTTATTTGACTATACTTATGCTAACTTGCTTACGCTAATGTCTTACAGGGCACAGGTCTGTAGATTCCTTGTGTTACAGCTGACTACAATAAAGGCTAAGCTAGCACTCTGGGCTACAGGTCCCAGTTTCTGTTCTCTGTTCCCATCAGGAAGGGGAGGGCTCGGTCTCAGGGCATGGCCCTGATCGCTGTCAGGGCTTCCGTGACTTGTGCTTACATGAGCAAGCAAAGTCTTTGAGGGAGGAGTCTGTGTTTCCGGGTCCGCCCTCCATGTGGAGTCGTTGGAGCCCTCCCAGGAGCGTGTGGGGTGATGTTAGAGCAACCAGGGCTGCACACGCTCCATCCAGCTGTAGTGGACAACACAGTAACCAGCTGTAAATCTCTCGTGATGGTTGGTGATTAAAGTACGAAGACATGGTGAGGAGAGAGCTGTGGGGATTTTTCTCCCATGCTGGCAGCTTTAACCAGACTTGGCACGCTCCTGTCCTTAGAAAGACGAGGAGAACCGCCGGCTGGAGGAGAAGAGGAGAATGGACGAGGAGCGGCAGCGACTGGACAAAGAGCACCAGGAGCGGGAGCTGCAGGAAGCAGCCGGGCGTGAGCAAAGGTTTAAAGAGAGATCCAGTGAGATTGATGCTCAGAAGTGAGTCTCTTCTTTGCACTGAGAAGCTCTAACAGCTTCCTTGCCTTATTCCAGGGGTCTGTCTGGTCTCCTTCCCTCGGAACCAGGGGCTGCTTTATTCTCCCCCTCCCCCTACCACCACATGCCATCAGGTTAGCAATCCCACGCTGCAGAGCGTAGGACCCAGGAGCGAGGACCTATGTAGGGAATGCTCCACCCTCACCTCAGAAGACAGTCCCAGTGCCCTTCCAGCCAGATCTCTGGTGTCTCTCCTAAATGTCCCCTTCACTGCGCCAGTCTCCCCATTCCTGTCAGTGGAGAGGGGAAGTGTGTGGCCCAGTGGGTTTCAGGGAGTGGCAGACTCGCTTTATCTGTCCGCGCACAACAACATGAACTCTCAGTTAAAGTTCCTCCAGTGCCTTTCCTGTCCATGCAATCACTGAAAATCCAGGAAGTCACCATTCAGGCAACAGCCACTTCCAGAAACACCCTGGCTGCTCGCCTCCACAACACCCTTGCCTCCTATACAAACAGTCAGCCACCCACAGTACACACCTCTGACCCTCCCAGTTGTGCTGACACACACACAACTCCAGCCTCTGACTGGCTTGCCTGCTGCTAGGCAGTATGACAGCGAGTCACTCGCTAATGTGTCATAGTCTTTATGAGGTCAGAGTTAAGGCTATGCCCTGGAGTCCCGGTCCGATGGGCCTTGTAAATTCTGTTGGATGGGGCTCCTGTCTGGTAAATCATCCAGGTGGAGAAGGTGCCTTCTCCACAGCCAAGCTACAAGCTCTACTTGTTGAGCAACTTCAGCTGAAGTCGTCCTGCCCCATCCCTCTATGTCCTGTCCCCAGTAGGGCATGGAGGCTGGTCTGACGGGCAAGACTTTGCCTCCTCCACCCTGGAACTGCCTCCTCCCTCAAACAGCTCTCTCAGACTCAAGAGGGGAGCCCCAGCGAACAGACCTTGCTCGGTCCATCGGACCAGGGCTCCGATTGGCGCAACCATAAGCCCAGTCTTAGACGTGACTCTCTCTCATCTTTATACCTACCCCTGCAGCCATCCATGGTATTGTGCAGCACAACCACAGTGGTGTCCGTGCCCAGGCTGTTTCTGTGTTGGTCGCTGGCAATACGTCTGCTGCCCCAGCACTCGTGCAGATCTCAATTCTGTAGCTGCTGCCTGAAAACAAATGCTAGGTGTTGAAACCATGGCTGAAAACACATCTCACCCATTCACAGACGGTTTCCAGAATGCTACAGTAGCACCTCTTGCATCCACCATTTGCAGTCTGACACGGTCCCATGTTTAGGGACATTCCCCTCCCCCCCAAATACACACACCTACAGCTCTAGGACATTGCAGTTTCTCAAGGCCACACGCTATAAGCAGCAAATGTGGCCGGAGCCTGTTGGTTGCAGTGCAGGGCAGACAAGGTAGCTGAGGGTTGAGATGGGGCTTGGGGCTGTGGAGCAATGTAACTTCTTATTTCCACGCTCTTTGGGGTCTGTGTTGGTGGATCCTGCAGTCTGGCAACCTTGACTCTGTTAACACTTTTGGTGTGAGGCTGTAGTATGTTTGAGGGTGTTTTGTAGCTCCTCCTAATGAGAGCGAGCCTTGCCCCCTGCTTGGCGTCTGACCGGGAGTCTCGTTGGTCCTGTGCCCCCAGTGGCGGTATGAGTAGCCACACCAGAGGCACCCCAGAGTCAGCAAGGAGCATGATAGACTGGCAGGGAGCAAACCCCTCCCCAAAGCCATGCACTGATAGGCGCAGGGGGTAAGGTGGGTACCAGCACCTCCCCCTGCCGGGAGAACAGACAGCAATGCCCACCCTTTGCCCTCCTGAGCGGGGGCTGGCAATAGCGACCCCTTTCCTCCCCCCCCCAAAACATCTCTGCCGCTAAGGACACTGGGCGGGGAGAGCAGTGGCTGATTTTCCTGCCACTAGACACTGTTCACATGGGCTCTGACCTCCCTTCGTCCTTCCAGTGGGGGCAGTGATATCCTGGCTCCAGAATTCCTTTCACAGAGCCTGGGGTTGTGGGGGAGGAACAGCCCCCCAGTCTGTGTTTGCCCAGTCCCCCGGGCAGGGAGTTCTTTCCCCCACTCCTGAAGGGTGTGTTGGGGGGGAAAGGGGTCCCATGGTGATGCGTGAAAAGTGATCAGAGAAGCTGGAGTGGCCACATCTCCTTGCTACTGCCCCACAGTTTCCCACCTACATGACTCCAATAGTGGGGTGGGGGGTGGGCTCATCTCGGGGTTGGGGCTGACACACCTATCCTGTTCTCTTTTTCCCCCCCCTCTCCCCCCCCATATTAAGCCAGAACCTTGGGGAAATGCTTCACTCTCCCTCCCGCTCCTGGAGCTGGCCGTAGGGGTCCCCACAGGCTCGGCTGCCAAGTGCTTGCTGCTTCTATGAGGAAGTCCTGGAATGGGTGGGTGGGGGTCCTTCCATGTGAACGCTATGGCAAGGATGGGGATTGTTCATATGACAGAGCGGAGCCCCTAAAGTGCCAATTTTAGGGGAAGCGGTGAGGGCAGCACCCCGCTGTAAGGTTGCCTGTGCCAGGGCCCTAGTGCAGTATGCAGCAGCAGAGAGCCGGGGAGCTCCGCCCAGCTGGGCTGCTTGGCACCAGGGGCAGAGCGAGCAACTCGGCCTGGTTATTATTTAACTCCAGTTTGTTATTTACAATGGCAGGAAATTCCAGCAGCAGCAGGATACCCAGAGCAGGGACAAGGAGAAGCAGCAATGGGTGAGTTTTGACAATCGCCGTCCCTTCGACCTCTTATTCGTGACTCTTGCAGAAATCTGGGGAGGGGGCAGGGTCTCCCAGAATAGCGCAGCCTGGACTGCATCTGGGGGAGCTCCAGACAGACAGATGCCCGTGAGCAACGTTATACCTAGACAGGCTGAAGCAGTGTCAGGACTTCCCTTGTGGAATGTGTGTAGGGATCAGGAATGACTTGTCCAACACCTGCAGAACTGTCCCGTCCGGCCAGGTGCATTGGACAGAGAACGGCTTTGTCAGAGCATCAGCTGTCAGTCACTCTCATAGGCAGGTTCCAAAGCCTGGCAAACTGGGTGTGTCCAGAATTTGGCTGTCTGGCTCTGTAATGACCATCCTTCCGATGCTGCTCCTCGTTCCCGTCCCCCGGCGCCAGGGGAAGCCATGTTTCGGGGCGGGGTTTGGCCTGGGAGCTGGGTGAGAGATCCTTGTCTCTGTGGCTGCAAGAGCAAAGGGTTGTCTTGTGCTGCAGAAGGAGCAGGAAGCGGAGCACCAGGCCACCCAGCGGAGGGGCCTCCGGAGGAGCGAGTCTGTGGAGAAAGCTCAGGTACGTGCGAGGAGGAGCTCCCATGGTCTGCTGCCAGCACCGACAGCCACGGCTGCGCCAGCCAGGCCTATGGGCAATCCATGGCTGAGCAGTGCGCTCCTTTTCCTGCCGCTTCGAAGTGCACATGGAATGAATTGACCCTCGCAGTAACCCTTCCTTTGTTCCCTTCCCCTCAGAGGTGCTGGGGACACGGCACGGACTATTCAGACACAGCAGTCGCATGTATTGCCTCGCCTGCCTGGTCCTTCAGCTGGGTGCTTGTCTCCTGGGGGCTTTGAGTTACTCTCTAAGGCCCGCACAGCTGGCTGTGGGTCTCCTGAGAGCTTGTTCCCCAACTTGTTGTGGGCTGTGGGTCTTCTGAGGGGCGTGGACTCCTATCTGCCTCCACACGCCTCATGGCCATGCGTCTCTTGGTGTCACAGGTGCTTGTCCCTGACGCTCCTGGGGGCTGGGGAGCTTTCGCTGCCCTCCCCCAGCCTAGTCTGTGGGTGCAGGGGCTTGCTCCAGGCCTCCACTGATGGCTGCTGGTCTCCTGGGGACTGTGGTTGTTTGTCCTAGTGGCTGGGTCTTGTTCGTCCCACAACTTTCCTGTATTTCTGTGAAGGAAGGGAAAAAGAGGGTGAAATTTAGGCTTCCCAGTTTAGTTCCCAGTCATAAGTGAGGCCTGTCTGCTGCTCCTGTGGAGCTCCCCAATAGAGGACTTCAACAGAACAAGTGAGAGGCTCCATGTGCCATACTGGTGGTACCTTGTTCTCCAGCTGCCTGTTTCATGCAGGCAGAGGGCCAGTGCTGAGAAGGAATCGCAGGGCAAGGTGGTAACGTAGGCCTTGGTGCCATCAGAGGGTTGTGACTAGTCCCATGATACCACCGTATCCATTCTACAAGAGGCCTCGTCAAGTCCAAGGCCAGAAAAGGACCATTGTGATCCTCTAGTCAGATCTGTGTCTCACAGGCCAGAGAAGGTCCCACAATAATTCCCAGAGCTGATCTGTTAGAAAAACATCCAGTCTTGATTTAATACCGCGCAGTGATGGAGACTCCACCACGACCCTGTGTAAATTGTTCCAGTGGTTAATTACTCTGTTGAAAATGTACACAGCACAGTAACAGCGATGAAACCACAACCCCTCTAGGACTTGGAGTTGATGAGTACAAGTGACCTCTCAGCACTGACTTGTAGGTACATCCTGAAGGGAATGAGCAGAACTGTTCTAAAGCTGTTCCAGGCAGGTGGGTGAGCAATACCCAGGGATTTAGGAAATGAGATGGGTTCTTACCTTGAAAACCAAACCATCTGCCAGCATTGTGTATTGCAGAGCCAGGTGACAGAATCGATTATCCAACCGTGGGAATAATGGCTTGTGTCTTACGTGGATGCGTGTGTGTGCTCTTTTTTCCTCACAGGAAGCGGCATCGCTGATAGCGCAAAGATCAGTGAACCCACGGGACATCTTCAAACAGAAGGAGAGGTCTATGCCCTCAGAAACAGCCGCCTTCGGTTCCCAACCAGGTATAAAGCAAGAGTGGAACATCAGCAGAGAGAACAGTGCTGGCTGATAGCCTGCTCAGGGGTTATAAAGCTCCTCAGGAAAGACACAGTCAATGCCATGTTAACATACGGCTTACAGGTAAATACATAGGGAACATGTGATACGAAGGTGTTATCAGCATGTGTTTGGGATAGGCATGCTACTCCCGAGTGCCAGAGGCAGAAGTGAGTTACAGTGGTCATTCCAGTTCTGATAAAACTCCTATCACACAACCATGTGATCTGCATTATAGGTGGAGCAATGCCTAGAGATAAGTTTGTCAAACACTTCCCATTATAAGCCTCTCCTTTTCAGCAGCTAATAACTTCACCCAGCCGGTGAGGTTGAGATTTTCCATGCTTGTCCCTGCTGTCTCCTGGATTTTTTTAATGATTCAGCAAAAATAGGTTTGTGAATGTTAAGTCTAGAACAGGTCAGCAACCTTTCAGAAGTGGTGTGCCGAGTCTTCATTTATTCACTCTAATTTAAGGTTTCGCGTGCCAGTAATACAGTTTAACGTTTTTAGAAGGTCTCTTTCAATAAGTCTATAATATATAACTAAACTATTGTTTTATGTATAGTAAATAAGGTTTTAAAAATGTTTAAGAAGCTTCATTTAAAATTAAATTAAAATGCAGAATCTCCTGGACCGCTGGCCAGGACCCAGGCAGCATGAGTGCCACTGAAAATCAACTCGCGTGCCGCAGGTTGTCTACCCCTGGTCTAGAAGGTACCCTTGAGATCAGCTAGTCTGACTTCCAGGATTTTCACCAGCTTCACCACCCCAATTTGAACCAGGGACCTTCAGTGCAACATGTGAAGACCACTTAAAAGGAGGGATGGTGGTGTAGATAGGGTACTAGGATGGAAGAACTGGGTTCAATCCCTACTTTGCCACAGACTCCGTCTATGGCCGTGGGTAAGTAAGCAAGCAGTAGCTTAGAGGAGCAGTGGAAAATGTCTTGCTTCCACTTCCAGTTCCAAGGGGCTGAACGTTCAGAAATATCGCTGCTGTTTTTGAGCACAAGAGGCAGGAAAAACAGATGCTTCTGCCGATGGTTAGACATTTTCCATCTGATTCTTTGAACAACTCTGGCATCTCCAGGGTTTGCAGTAGGTACTTGAAATTTGACAGCAGATAGTCCTGATGTAAAAGAGGTGCCTTTGCTGTCCGAAAAATCAAGTTGGCCAAACCTGGTGATTAGTCCCAGGAAATTGTCATTTCATATGCATGGTAGTATTGGCTCAAGACTTAATTCACTGAACATTCTGTCTGCACCGGGCATGCTCCAAAGCCTCGCTCAGTTAAATAGTGACCCGCTTGCACCCTCCCAGCAAAACACCCTTTAGCCTGACAGCACGTTGTGTTGGAAGCCAGGCGAGTGGTAATTCAAATCTCACCTCTCCCGCTGACTGCTTTTAATGTTGCTTTGTGCTTCGCAACCCTTATTGTGGCTCACATGGTCATATCTGGCAGAGAAGGGAACAGAACCGAGGTCTCTTAACATGAGACCCGAGTCTTATTCACTTAGCCACACTGCCTCCCTCAAATAACACAGCCATATACTTGGCTAGGTTGTAACCTCCACCACTGCTGTAACATTCCCTTCCCAGAGCCAGGATTAGAACCTAAGACCCTTGATACTCCACGCTCCACTGCTGTCTAGCAGAATTGTGCACTGTGCCAGGTAGGCAGAGTCTTATTGGGAAAGTGTGAGTAACATCCCCCTCTAGTGGTGGACACAGAAGATAACTGCTGCCTCTGGCTAGCTTCTATTCCTTTAACTCAGGGGGTAGAGGACTTTCCTACAGAACTGAGGGTCAAAGCCTGCTGATGACCTATGGCTGGAGTCTTTGTGGTTCCACACGAGGGCACTTTTGGTTTTGCAGTTTTCTCTTAAAACCTAGGAAATGTAATATGGAAAAGTAAACTAAAAGAACGTTATTACCTTTGCAAAGTCAAGCACTCAGAAGTTAAGCAGTGCCAGAATGGTGGTTGCCCGTGCATCCTTAACTTGTCCTCCTTGTGCATATGCATTATGGTAGTCATTAATTACATGAACACATGCGATTTCTTCCAAAAGGACTCCTGCCTCGTTTAGTGCACAGGATGAACAGCAACTGAAGCAGGTTTGGGTAGTGAATGAGGCTGTTGTCCATAGGATCCCCCTGCCTCGCATTCTGCTTTTTGCTGTAACAGTGTAGCAGGGGATATAGAAAGTGATAGGATACTCTTGTGGCAGTCCCTGGACTGGAACTCAGGAATACTAGGCAATAAGACTGTGTCTCGGACAGTAAATCCCACAGATCTCAGGGGCAGATCAGCTGAGCGAGAAGATGCTGTTTCTCCCGAGTCACTTTTCAGAGCAGTGCCACACCGGAACAGTTGGTTCCAACTGCTATAGCTGCTTCGAAAGGAGTAAGCGCAGAGATGGTGGAGCGAAGAGTAGGTACTTCCCATTTGTACTCTTCTCTGAACAGCTCGCTTGCTTGCTTGATGTGCCTAGTGTGTTTCTCGCTTCCGTCCTTCCCAGGCAAGCTACGGAGCCCCTTCCTGCAGAAGGAGAGCAGCCCTGTCCACGCTCCGGCCTCCCCAGTCCACTCAGCTGCCCAGGCCTTTCATCCACCCTCCCTTGTCCATCCCTCTGCTCGGGAGACGCCTCCAGCCTCTCCGGTTCCTGGCTCAGGTGTGTTGCTTTGCCTTCCCCACCAGGTCACTAGGCAGGGGTGCTGGAAGAAATGTGTATAGTGGGGGTGCTGAGAGCCATTGAACCCAACTGTGAACCCTGTATATGATGGAAACCACTTCAAGCCAGGGGGTGCGTCAGCCCCCCTAGTTTCACCAGGGGAGAGCTTTCACTTTGGCTCTCGGAGCAGGTCTGCCAGCTATTGTGGCTTCTGCCGTAGTACAAGATATTTTCAAGGTTGTCATGGCTTAGTTTCATTCTGTCTCCACATGCCCATAACTTTCTGAAAAATTCTCCTTTGGGCCAGAAACTTTGCCTGCTGTATCTCAGACCAGGAATGACTTTTGTTTGCTAAGTCTGAAGACGGTCCTTTCAGCTGTTAGTGTTATGGAGAGTGGGGAATAATCCAGCTTCTCAGCATTATGTCTTTTTTGCTCACCAATAACTCCAATGGCTGGACTCCAAACAGTGCATGTGAATGGCCTTTATGAGCCAGCAGGCTTTCGTTGTGGGGAAGAGCTGCCTAAAAATCTAAAAGCAGGCGCACTTGAGAGCGCTTGTCTGAACCTGCTCAATTAGCAGGGCCCGGTTTATGTATTTAAGTGTGTTCGGTGCTTTTCAAATGAGCTAGATGGGTCTCTGCACTGGAGAACTTGCAATGGAAGGATCTAGTCCTGCAGATGCCACTAGACATCCACCAGCAGTCCCATAGGTCTTAGCAGCGAAGGTTAAAACAAGGAATTAAGTAAAAACATGCAGGTGGCTCCTTTTCTCTCCTTTTCCTTTATTTTCTTTTAAAAAGAAAACAAGGATACAATGTGTTTTAAATCAGCAGTAACACAACGTTTACGTTGCATGTTCAGATACAAAATCCAGAGAGTGCAAAAGGGAAGGATCTCTCACAGTAACGCAAACTCCCCTGCATTGCAGATATGTAAGATTATTGTTTTTATTTCTAGTTAGGCTATTTAATATGACCTAAATGTTACAGTACATACAACATGGATGAGTTCTGTGTTTGTAGAGCACCTTGCACACCAGGGGCATGGGCTATGATTTTGCTTTGCTTAATCTACCTGGGTTGTAGAGGTGCTGGTTGCAACTCCATAATTAAAGTGACACCCAGGCTTGTTATGACACCCTCTTTCCTCCCCAAATTATTTTTACTGTGAAGTACAACGTTCCTTTTATTTCCTTTGTGTACTGTTACAAGGTTATGCTTCCTGGAGGACAGAGTGCTTAAAGGTTGAAGTGCTGAAATTCACCCATTTTTAATTTACTCGTGGGGAACGTCTTCTATTTTTTTAAAGCTGAAAAAGGACACTTCTGGGTTTTCTTTCAAATTGTCCCCAAAATGCAGTCTCTGGGACCCAGCATAGAAAGGTTCCATCCCAAGAGATTCAAGGGGGCCTGGGGAACTTGGTACATCAGTATAAACACCTTGCAAAATTCATAAGAACATATTTGAAACAGAAAAGGTTCAGAAAAGGGCAACAAAAATGATTAGGGTTATGGAACAGCTTCCATATGAGGAGAGATTAAAAAGACTGGGACTTTTCAGCTTGAAAAAGAGACTACTAAGGGGGGATATGACAGAGGTCTATAAAATCATGCCTGGTGTGGAGAAAGTAAATAAGGACGTGTGATTTATTCCTTCTCATAACACACAAACTAGGGGTCACCAAATGAAATTAATAGGCAGCCGGTTTAAAACAAACAAACAAAAGGAAGTATTTTTTTACACAATGCACAGTCAACTCCCTGCCAGAGGATGCTGTGAAGGCCAAAACTATAACAGGATTCAAAAAAGAACTAGATAAATTCATGGAGGATAGGTCCAACAATGGCTATTAGCCAGGATGGGCAGGGATGGTGTCCCTAGCCTCTGTTTGCCAGAAGCTGGGAATGGGCAACAGGGGATGGATCACTTGATGATTCCCTGTTCTGTTCATTCCCTCTGGGGCACCTGCCATCGGCCACTGTCGGAAGACAGGACGCTGGGCTAGATGGCCCTTTGGTCTGACCCAGTATGGCTGTTCTTATGTCCACTACTCCAAATGCTGTAATAAAATACAAGTCTCAGTATGCTTGGCCCATGTGGCCTGTTGAATAGTGCACTGGGCTGGGATTTGAGAGACCTGGGTTCTATTCCCATCTCTACTCCTTGTCTACTGTGTGAACGTGGGTATGTCACTGCCCTGTTCTGTGCCTCAGTTTCCCCATCTGTAGAATGGGGATGATAATACTGACCCCCATAAGCTTTGCGGTTTAGTGCTGGAAGAGTTCAGGATTACTGTTATTCTGCACCAGGGCTTTGGTGATAAGGAGGCTGACACTGGGCATGATCCCTGGGTTACAGCAAAGCTACCAGAGGCTTAATTTCCTGAGACAACACATCCCCTTTATAACAGTGTCCTCAGGAACCAAGTGTTTGGAATGTTCAGAGTGGGAGGGAAGCCTGACAGTGTCCTTGCTGCAGAGAGCTTCCTACCAGGGGCAGCACGGACATATAGAGCAAACTTATTCATGGATCCAGCCTTCTCTGACCAGTCCTGCTTTGTTTCTGGTTTCCGTGCACGCCTCTTTGAGTTGCAAGTGGCCTTTCCTCCAGCTAGCCGACGCTCTGCAGCAGTGACGCAGCCCCTTCCCGGGGTGAGGTTCCATCTCCAGCGTGCTGCCCTGTAGCTGCTTGGCTCTGCTAAATATTCAGCAGCCACATTGCGGTGAAGTTCTCTTTGCTGCATCTCTTCCTCTTCCAGTACCTGGTCCCGGCATCTGCTACCTTCACCCTGTTTTCTCCCTTAGTGCTGAGAGGGTTGGTGCCTTTTGGATGGTGCCAGTAGCCTAGGATTAGGGCTGGTGACCGACTCTCCTCTCCGCCAGCTTCTTTCCTTCAGAAATAAAAGTAAACGCACCCAGACACAAACCACCAGAGCCCCTGCAGGTGGGGCAGGCGCTGCACAAAGCAGGTCTAACTTGAGTGGTTGGGTTTAGTGTGTGAGTGTGGGGTGGTGCTGGCGGCATGTGCTAGACAGGATGTCAGACTACATGTTCTGCTGGTCTCTTCTGGGCTTAAACTCTATGACTCTAAAGCGACCAGCTTCTGTATTTCAAGGAACATGAGACCATAGCAGGTTCCGTACTACATCTCAGCTTTCTCCCTGCTAGAGGTGAAACCGGGTTGCAACTGGTATGTATTCATGCATTCCCCACTAGGGGCCGCTGTTGTGCTGAGGAGAGATTTAGACCTAACCCTAAACTTGGTCCTGCTCAGAGCTAACCTGCAAGCAGCGACATCCCACTAGCAATCCGTCTCCTGGATTGTGGTGTTCCCATCGCTGTATGGGATTCTAAGGGGAGGCAGGCAGTGGCTGACATTCAGTGATCTGAAATGGCTTGTTTGCGCATTGCCTAGCAGCTCTCAGGAGCCCCGTTGTCCTGGGCTCTGCATAGGAAAGGATAGTCCCTGACAAGCAGAGGGCGTGGGAAGAAGATGGACAAGGGGAATGGTGATGAGCACATGTGGATACCTAGACTGGTTGTGTGCACAATCTGCAGGGTCGAGTGTGGGGGCTGGGTTGGTAATAAGATGTCTGGCCTTAGCCTGGCCATTGTGCATTGGTGATGTCCCATAGTCCCCAGGGGAGAAGTGCATATTGGGAAGGTTTTGAAGGCGGACACAGCCTTAGTTTGGGGACGGAGGCCCAGTTAATGTCTCTGTGACCTCATCCTGTCCTTCTGCCAGAGCAGCTGTAACATCCGTCCTGTCTTATATTGCCTGCATAGTTTCCCTCTTGCTGCTGACCCCTCTAGCAGGTGTCTCTTCCTATCTGAGTGCTCCCCAGCCTGTCAGCTCCCAATCAGACTCTAGTTTAAATAAACCTCCTTCCCTCTTCCAGCTCCTGATTTGGCTAAGATGGAGCGTGTCCTCTCTGAATATGCTCCCCTCCTCCCCGCAAGTTCTGCATCTAATAAACTCCTAATAACCTCTCCTCTCAACATCGTCTTCCACCCCTTGAGATTCTGGAGCCCTGCGTATGGAACCAGAAGCATTTTGAGAATGTCACAGCAGAGCACTTGAACTTCAAGCTGCCTCTGTAATTATCTAAACTTCACTTCCAGGAGTTTTCTTATCATTTCTTACATTGACACAGCCAGACACAGGCTTCTCCCTAGCACCCTCTAGAGCCTTGAAATGTCCCCCTAATAACCCTATCTGCATGCAGTTTGGCTGTAGGGGCAGACAAGAACAAACCATGTTCAGCAAACGGGATTGCTGACAACCCCGGTACACCACACCTGCATTTCATCAGGTAGACTGGGCCTAAAGGTTTAGATGTCTCACGAGACCCACCACCCTTGTTCCTGGTGAGGAAGTCCCACAGTGGCTCTGACCGTTTCCACTCTCCCAGCTGTCTAGGCACACTGGATACAATGGATCATATGAACTGGAACCATAAACTCCCTGAACATTAAATCTCACCAAATGAGGGTCAATCCATCCTCATCGTCATATCCACTCATTATTATCCACACCTGAACATAGCCACTTTATGAACTTCATACCCTCATATCTCAATGTCTGTACTTTGACACATCAATCTTTTACCCCCAATCGGGGATATTGCAGATTATGTATTCCTCATACCACCTTATCTTAAACCAAACTTTGCACCCTCGATAATCTGTATGCTATTCCCTGATAACCAGAAACTTCTATGCTCAAACTCTGTTCACTATTTTTTTTTTTAACATCATCTTAATAAAATTTTTAAATGCTGCGTAAGGGCCCAAGCTTGCATGGCGCCGGGAGAGCGGCTGGAGGATCTGATAAAGCTTGTCCATTCTCCATCGTCTCCAATCTACCAAGAAAAGCATTGCTAAAATCATTACTCTCCTGCTGCTCCAGCTCCATCGCCCCTCTCCTCTAACTCCTCCTGGGCTCTAACGCAAGCTCCTTGTGTTCATCTCTGTGGCCCAATGTGATCTTACCCACCTGTTCTCAGGTCTCCTCTCTTCCTTCTTGCTCCTTGTCTTCCTATTACTGGAGCTGGTTAGGAAGTGATTTCCCCCGCTCCCCCCCCCTTCCAGCCCCTTACAATTTTGTGGGGGATGAAAACTGAAAAAATTTGACAAATGGATTTTTTGGCAACATTCCCCATTGAGGGGGGAGCTATTTTCTGTAGGAAATAAGTGTTAGCCAGCTCAACCTCTCTCTTCGATACTCAGAGGGATGGAAGGAGCTGTAGGCTGTCAACCCTGATGCACTGATCATTTCCTCCAGGTCCCCCCTTCTGCATCCCACTTCTGATCATGATCTGGTACCTCCTTAGCCTCTGTCTACGGGTCAGAGCTTGGTTCAGAAAGCTGTCCAGCACGTGGCTCTGACGGGAGGGAGGGAGGGACCAGTGTGTGAGGGGATTGACACCGCAAGGTATTCTGGGTTTCTTTCTAGGTGACGCTGCTGTGCAGGACACCAGGTACAGTCCAGTCCCCCCGGTGTCCCAGCCGCAAGTGGAAGAGGACGCTCTGTACGAGGAACCCCCTGCTGAGTCGGCTGTCTACGAAGAGCCCCCCACTCAGGTGGGTTTCGTTACGGAAACAGGGCTGTTTGGCTCAATCTGTTTAACACCAAGAAGATTGAGATGACTAGATTACGGCCTAGAAGTACCTATAGGCAGCTAAGTTCCCTCTAAGGTGTGTGCCTGCGCGGCCGTGCGGGAGACCACCAAGGGCCACACACCTAACTCCCCCAGCCCCGGGGCTGCGGCACAGCAAGGAGAGATGCCTCTCCTGCCCCCCCAGCAGCAGGGAGGGGCCCCTCTCTCCTAGCCCCAGAGCTGCTGCGGCGGGGAGAGAGAGCTGGAGGGAGTCCTTTCTGCCTGCTGCCGCTCTGGGGCAGCTTGCAGCCCAGACTCCTCATCCCCACCCCCACCCCAGAGCCCACATCTCCAGCTGGAGCCCTCACTACCCCGCACCCCACCTCTCCCCCAGCCCTGAGCCCTCTCCCATACCCTGAACCCCTCATCCCTGGCCCCACCTCAGAGCCTGCACCTCCAGCCAGAGCCCTCACCTCCTGCACCGCAGCCCTGAGTCCCCTCCCACAGTCCGAACCCCTTGGCCCCACCCCCACCACACATCACCTCCATATTGGTGCACATAGCAAAATGCATTCCGCACATGGATGGGAAAAATTGGAGGGCACGTTGACAGGGGGAAGAGATCTGTCAGTAGAGAACTCTATAACCTAGCAGACAAAGGTAAAGTCTAGCAAGATCCCAGGGATGGGAGTTAAAACTTCAGACAAATAACTGGAAATATGGCAGAAATGTAATAGTGGGAGTAACAACCCACCTAGGAATGTGGTGGATTCTCCATCACTTCTGATCGTTCAATCAAGAATAAATCCCTTTTTCTTAACACTCTTAAAGCTCAGCCAGGAATCTCTCGGTGACATTCTCTGGTCTGTGATTTGCAAATCAGGTACCTTCTGGCCTGTAGAGATACAAAGTCACTTCTTAAAGGTTTTGTTATTTGTTTCTAAGCTTTTCTGGGTGGAATCATTTATAAAGATTTGTTTTCTGTTGATTGGGGTTAAATTCTTTCCAGGCTTGGGTTTAGCAGCAGATGATTCCTAATTTGTGGTATCTTTTCCACCCACATAGTGTGAATGTTTCAGTTTAAAGCATCAACCTGTAGTTGCATACGGTAGGTTGGTAAACGTTGCATAGAATAGTTGCACAAGCTTAGTGTGTGAAGCTGGAGTGCTCTCCTCCCTTGGGCAGTATCAGCCCAGATCAAACTTCCTTTTTCTTGTGTTGTAATCCCTCTTTGCACAGTTCAAATGTCCATGCTTCTGATACTGCCCTTTAAACTACAAGTGTCATCTCCTTTGCCGTTTGGCACTAGTGCTCATTTAGAAACATCGAGTGGATTTTTCCATAGCTGGCATTTTTATGATTTCTGCATTATTTTTGGCATCTGGTCCATATTTTGTTGAGGTTTTTACAGATTTTGTAGTTCAGTGTAACCTAGTTTGATCTATCCAGGGTACTTCTATACCCTCCCATGGGGTAGTATCTCAGCACCTCACAATCGCTACTGGATTTATCTATCCTGACAACACCCCGTGAGGTAGGGCAGTGCTATGATCCGCGTTGTCCAGGCCCAGGGAGAGACTCAGGGTCCCTTCCAGCCCTGCATTTCTATAATTCTGTGACAAGTGACTTGTCCAGGGTCAGGCTGGGAGTCTGTTGGAGCCAGGTCTCTGACATCGCAGGCTAGTGCCCTAACCCCTGGGTCATGCTGCTTCTCTGATTTGTGTCAGGATGAGATAAAGCGGCTGTGGTCCAACAAGCATAGCCATCAGTGCCTTTCTGTTGTTGTCAGGTTGGTCATTGGGCAGTCAGTTCCAATGCTGCCCTTTGGGGAGGTGAAAGAAAATCTGCCCGCGGAGAACCCTCTTTTTCTTCTGTTGGGGATAGAGACCAATATTTGAATGTTTGTATGTGTTCTGTTCACGCTGTTACAGGGGTGTGTGTTCGCATGGGGGTGATCTGGTCTGTGTCCCCGTAACACCGTCATTATAACAGGACTGCAGTTCGCAAACAGACTGCTACCAACATTCCTCTCATGGATGAGAGAGGCTCGTGGAAAGTGCCGAGTAAAGGATCTATGCGTGGCACTGGGTTGTTTGCTTTGTTTGGAGTGGTGGGAAAGAGCTAGATTGCTCCACATTGACGCAGGTCTTGACAGCTGGGCTTCCCATGGCACTCCAACAGCAAATGCAAACTCGTTCACATTTAACACTGTCTATTTCCGTTTGCCTTCAAAGGAACAGCTTGAAGATGCCAAATATGAGTGTGCTGTTGAGTACCAGCAAAGGCCGGACTTGGAGGGGAAAGGGTTATGTGCCCGAGCGCTGTACGACTATCAGGCTGGTACGTGGCTCCTTTATTTCTCTGTAATCTTGGGAATTGACAGCCCTGTGGTTTCAGTGTCACACACGTTCCCACCCCAGTGCCTCTAAGTGTGCACGCACTCCCCTGCATTTAGGGGTAGCCCGGGAAAGTCCCCCCCGGCTCCTGGGCAGTGATGCAGATCCAGACGGGTGATGGTGCCCGGCATACGTCAAAGAACAGCAGTGCAGCGAAGTAACTTCCTTTGGCGATCAGTCGCCGTACACAGCTGTGAGTGCAATGCAGCTTTGCTGTGCAACAGCGTCTTTCATGCAGCCTGGATCCAAAAACGATGCAGTATTTGATGCCATCCCTTCCACTTCCTGGACTCCCTACCCCTCTGACCTTCCCGGGCTCTCTCCTCTGGCTCCTTTCCCTCTGCCTCCAAGCACGCCGGGTCAGATTCTCACCTTGTGTAAACCCTAATAGCTTAGGAGAATTCAATGAACTTACGACATTTTGATGATCTAACCCGTCATTTTCTGCTACCCTTAAGATATGGTTCTGCTCTGAAAAGCGACTGTCAGGGTGGCACCATAACAAAGAGGAAAGCACCTAAAGGCTCCTAAGTGAGTCAGGTGCTTTTGAAAATTTTACCCCTAATCCCTAATACAGATCACCATGCAATCATGGCAGCTCCACAGATATGGAGCCTCTAGATTCATTGACCACGGAAAGCAATCCTAGATAACGTAGCAAGAGCAGGGAAAACGAGTCCACAGTGAGTCTGCGTTTTGATAGCGGATTCCAAACAAAACCTCTGACGCGTTTCGTAAAACTTTCAAGGCCCCTCACGACCTATCCACACCTGACCTAGCGTCTCTTATTCAGTATTGAAAGATTGGCTCCCACCTCCGATCGGCCCGTGATCCCAGCCTCCATCGCCCACTGGTTACATTTTCAAACAAGCCCTGTTTGTGCCTTCTTCTACGCTGCCCCTCAGGTTGGGAGAAGCTCCCCATAAACACAAGCAAAACTCCCTCATCCACCTTTAAATCCCTCCTTAAAATTCTGCTTTGCTGTTATGCCTGCAGAATACTTGACAATGGTTAAAGCTGCTGGTCTGCTAAGACCTCTGTTGGCCACATTGTCTCATTGTTTCCTTGTGCTCCCCATCAGTCGCCATCTGTTTCTTGTCTTATCGTTCGATTGTCAGCTCTTTGGGGCAGGGACTGTGTTATTGTTGTCTGTACAGCGCCTAGCACGTTAGGGTCCTGCTCCAGGACTAGGGCTCCTAGGAGCTACAATAATATGAATAACAGTGTTTCCCGCAGACGGATTTTGTGCAGGGCACCAAAAATGTCGTTAAAGGGAAAGAGCAACCTTAGGCAGCGAAGGGGTTTAGGGATGGAGAGCTTTCAGTTGTGACCATATGTCCCTGTCTTTTCCTCAATAGCTTGTGTGACATCAGCTAGCTTCTGACCTTCCCCTGCTCTGTCTCATTCCAGCCGATGACACTGAGATCTCCTTTGATCCTGAGAACATCATCACCAACATCGAGATGATCGATGAGGGCTGGTGGCGTGGCTACGGCCCAGACGGCCACTTCGGCATGTTCCCTGCCAACTACGTGGAATTGATAGAATAAGCAGCCTCCGGGGGAAGGGGAGCAGTTACCCCTAAAAGTGGCTTGATGAAATCTGATTCTTCAACGTTTAAATTGTGTGGCTTTTAAGGCGTGACGTGCCATCGCCTTGCTCCCCTGGTCCCAGGGCAGAACCCAACGGTGCTCTGTTGCCCTCTTCCCCTCCAGCTTAGCTGACACTTCTTGGTGAAGGTCTGAAATGAGCCGTGGCCATTTGCATAACTTACCTACATGTTTCACTTGACAGCTGAAACCTTTTAAGGGGGAGGGACGGATGACTGCTCCCTACCAGGCATTCAGGAAACAAGCCCCCCACTTCAGAACAGGTGTCTCTCATGGAGGAAAAGAGACCCTCAGCCGGATCCGTGAGGGAATGGTAATCAGACGGGCTCCGATTTAGCATTCCGTATGGCTCAGTAACCAATCTGGATCTGTCACTGCAGGGTTAATGCTGCAAAGACCGACACCAAGCAGTCGGGCAATGCCCAAGTCAGCCTTCTATTAGCAACACCGTCTCCCTGCGCATGTGCTATTAAATTATACGTCCTACAGTCTAGCCAGTGCAGCTGCACAGGTGTCCTGAGGTCAAGTTACCGTTGCTCATAGAATCCTGATTTTTGCATTTCCTGCTGTCTCTGGGGCTTCAGCTCGCAAGCTGCCCATTGTACTGCAGTGAGGTTTGCATTTCGCTTCCTCTACGGTCGAGGTGGGAATGAAAAGGATGAATCCCTGTGGCAACTGAACGCTAAGGAGCTGTGCAGCTGCATGTCATGCTGTTGCAGCATCTTGCACAATTCCTTTAGAGCAGTGGTCAGTTATAGAACTCGGGTAAGGATATTTATCATGCATGCATTGGACCAATATTTCATTTACCAATAAGTCCTCTCAGCCTCTCCCAGAGGGTTTTCCTCACCGGGGACTAGCAATGGGTGCACAGTAACACTTTCTGTTAGCCATGGGGACCCGGGGGTGGCGTAGATTTCTTAAAGTACGCAAAGTTGTCTTTTCCCCAAAGGAGACTCTTCTGGGAAATTGAGCAAGGCAAACCTAGGGATTTGTAATGAACCCCACCTCCTTAATCACGGTGTTCCCTGCCTTATATATAATCCAGTAACGATCACTGTGCCCTGAAACAATGGGGATCCTAACTCAGCTATTCCTACCCTCCCTCTTTCCTACTACAAGTTTTCCTCCCTTATGTTGCTTTAACAAACAAACATGGTTCGAAAGATGCTGGAGCCCTTATTCCCCAGCCCTGACTTGCCCCCTTGCCAGCTGCTCCCTCTCCCTGCAGCTGCAGAGAGAATGTCCTGGCTGCTCCAGCCCCGACGCCTCCCACCCCAGGACTCTCCAGCTGCAGTGAGAACTACTCCAAGCTGTTTCTGTGCCGTGTGGGTGCCGAAAGCCGTGTGTTGCATTCCTTCCCGTCTGCTCATCCTGCCTCACCAGCCTCGTGGGCTTGTGTCTGTGTGGACTCTCTCTCTCTCTCTCTCTCTCTCTCTCATCTTTTCCCTTTGGAGTGCTGATGGAAACAATAAAGGGCTTTTCTGTGGTGATGGCTGCAGCTGGTCACTGGGGGTGTCACTGACCTTTAGAGTTGGTGGTTACGGGGCTCATCAGTTTTTGGGGCTTCGATTGCACCCTTCCTTCTGTTCTGGTCAAAACTTCCGGCTGGACAGTGGAGGCTTTGCATTTGGATATGGGCTTGGGGCAGGCAGAGCCTGTGGTGTTTAATCAACAGTTTTAATCTTAAACAAGAGCTTGTGGCCATATGAAATGCCTTACTCTTGTCACATAGCCTCCTGGGCTTGGCCCATCCTTGGAAACGTTTGCGCTGTCTGCCTCAGCCCCTGCTGTTTAGGCTGGACTCCATAGAGCATCTCCAGCAGTGGGTTCATGCATTTGTGCCCGCTTAGATTGCCAGCTGCTTGATTCTCAGGCTCTCCGAGATCCCTGACAAAAACTATAATGGTGTGACCACCTGGGCCTATTGTAGCACCTTGCTCTTGTCCAGTATGTCTCTTACCTGCATAGAATAGCTCTGGGGAAAGGTGTCTCCCCTATCATCCTCTGCGGGGAAGACTGATGGAAAGAAATCATTCAGCAGCAGTGTGGCCTAGGGGGATAGAGCACTGCACTGCACTGGGACTCAGCAGACCTGTGTCCTATACCTGGCTCTGCAGTTAGCCTGCTGGGTGAACTCGGGCAAGTCACTCCTCTGCTCTGTGCCTCAGTTTCCCCATGAACAAGACATCAAGATTGGCATCTTTGCTCCAGTGGTTGGGGGAATGAGATGAGACAAAAGCTGCTAGGGTGGAGATGGATGGTGCTTCAATGGAACAGGTGGTGCAATGGGAGAAATGGCAAAGGAAGCAAAGTGGAGGCGATTGTGGGATGGAGGGAGTTAATCTGAGGAAGGGCAGGGGAAAGGCTGCTGTGGATGGAGGTCATGAAAAGCTGGGGACAGGGTTAGCAGTGTAAAAGGGAACGAAATGGCTACCAAAAGGGAGGTCAGAGGTTTCAGAGAGGTCTGTTGGCTTAACTTTTCATTTCTGTGGTTATGTGGCTTCAAGTCAGGGTTGGTACATACATAATATGCCAAGTTGCTTCACAATGCATGGTGTGTGGGTGTGGGTGTGTGTTTGTATGCATACAGCCCCCCCCCCCAACCACACACACACGCTGGGTGCTTTAAAACGGCCAATTTCCCAAAGCCGAAAACAACTTTTGAGCAAAATCAATTGAGAGGAAAATGTTTGAACAACAAAGTTGAACAAGAATTGGGAATTAAAAAAAATACTTGGCTAGTTGCTCAGAAGACCACAATTGCGTAATCCTGCAAGAAGGTTTGTTTTGTTAAAAAATCATCCTGGGAAAGCACCAATAATAAACTACATCTAACTAAACAAATGGAAAAAAGGGGAAATGGATTGCAATGAACATAAATGAGCAGTTATTAAATGCATAACCCAAGTCATATGAGAAGCTGAAGCCACCTGTGAACAAGCTGTGGCTGGCAGGGGTAGCACAAGAACATGGGACAGTCAATTAAACTGAAAGGTGGGAAATTCAAAACTAGTAAGAGGAAATACATTTTCAAGCTGCATGATTAGGCTGTGGAACTCACTGCCACAGGATGTTATTGAGGTCAAGAATTTAGCTGGTAAGAGACTGGACATTTATATGGCTAATGAGAACAGGTAGAATTAATGCTAACTCAAGAAGTTCTTTGAGTAGTGTTCCTGTGGGTGCACCAGGGGCATATGGGCCTCAAGTCCTCGATTGGAGACTTTCTGTTAGCAGTGTCCATGGGGCCTGCGCATGCGCTCTGTACAGCCTCATGCGATGCACTGAAGGCAAAGGACTGCGGGTTCATGTTAGTTGTTTTTACTATAGAATTAGATACTCGTGAGAGGATGATGGAGAATTCCCTTGCACCTGCTTTGGAATTGTGTCAAGAGATCCCCTCGTACCTCTGTCTCTGGACAGATCCAGCACCCCTTCGACTTTGGCTCAGGTCTCCCGTAAGAAGGGAAAGGCTGCGGAGAAAAGGAGTTTGGTCTCCCACTACCAGGAGCTGGCTTTCAAAAGGCCCCAATCTCCTGCTACGGGGTTGAGCTCTTGGGTCGGGACCTCTTGTGGTGGCACAAGACACTTCTTCCTCCGGTACCAGCAGAGCTGGGAGATCCTGGAGCGCTCTGGGGAAGCATGGCTCCAGCAGGCCCAGCACATACACTCGTCTAGAACGGCGTTGTCTACGTCAGACTTGCCATTGGTGCCTTTTCGCTCGGCAGCTTTGGGACCAGGCAAATCGAAGCACCACACACCTTTGGCCTCAGCACTGCCGCACTCCAGATCAACAGTACCGCCCCCCTGAGCTGCTGTATGGGTACTGCAGGAATTCCCCTGCTCCAGGGGCTTGTCAGTCTTAGAAGAGCCAGACTCCTCACTGCTTATGGATACTGAACGAGTCTGAGCGCCGAGACCCCAGCTTCCAAATTACCAGTGCTTCCTGGTGCCGTAGGATTCTCTGCCTTTTTCTCCTGGGAACCCCCTATTTGTCAGACCTCTGGCCCCATTGCAGAGAGGCTATAGGGTTGTGCAGTCCCCTCTACCACTCCCCCCCTCCCCCCAGCACGAGGAGACTTTTGAAAAACAGCAGACGAGGGCGGCTAAAGAGGCCACCCCTCAAACCCCTCTCGAAGAGGAGGTTTCTCATGCTGGGCAGTCACTTCAAGATGTGTCCCGCTCTGGGTGCTCCGCTCCCCACCCTGCTTCCCCCCTGCTTTGGATTGTTCTTCACGGGACATCCGCCTGCAGAAGGACCTGAGCGGGTGGCCTGCGCAGCCCTGTCTTCCCTGAATGGACACTGCTAATGGAAGATCTCCCAGCCAGGGCTCGAGAGGCGCATGGGCCCTGAAATGGAGCACCCCCAGGGAGACCCATCTCAGAGAGTTACAGTTACTGCCCGAGGTGAGGAACCTTGTCATGGGGGCTGGGGGGGATTCCATTTTCATACTTCAGTGCTTCAACTAATTTCTAGCAGGGATCAGGATGAGACTGACGTGGGGGACAGATTATCCCCCATCTGCTATTCTGGCGTTTCTTGCACTTTCCTCTGAGGCATCCAATGAGCTGTGGTCAGGACACGGGCTGGGTGGTCCCTGGGCCACTCATGGCTGGTAACTCCCAGGGGGGAAGGCAATGCAAATAATGTTTTTAAAACTATATTGGGAGCAAAATAAGTGCTGGCGGTAGGCTAGGTCCATGGCCACAGGGAGAGAATAGAAATGCCAGTGAGTCCATGACAGAAGGCATCGGCCTGGCCTTTACACCGGGCGTTGGCTGTGTCTTTCGAAGAGCTCTGCTCTGGCGCCACCGGGCGTTATGGGTTCAGTGGGGATCACTGGGTGGGGTTCTGTGGCTGGTGGGATGCAGGAGGACCGGGTGGAGGTCCAGGATACCCCCTTCTGGCCCTTATACTATCTAGGTGGATGGATCTGTGTTCCTATCTGGGATCAACAGTGATCGAGACAGCCCTCACCGTCTCTCCATCAGCATCTCCACTACGGCACCTGCTACATGGCTGCGGCATCGCGATGTGGCTACTGCACCTACTCCCAGGGCCGCTGAGCAGGCAGCCCAGGCTGGATCCCTCACCGTAGGGCAGGTGCCGCTGTGGCTTCCTGCCCCTGGCAGCAACACCTGTCAGCCGGGGCAGTGGGGCCCTTGTGAACTGCCAGGAGAGACGGGGCAGAGGGACAAAGAGAAAACTCTGAAGCCAACAAGCAGGGAGAGAAAATGTTGCCTGGACACATTGCCAAGAGCAGCCTCTGACCTATACCCAGCTCTGGACTCTGCCCAGCTTCCACTCCCAGCTCTGCCCCGGCTCACCCCCTGACCCGGCGAGTCACAACCCCACCTAGTGCCTCAGTTTCCCTCACTGGGGATAACACTGGGTGGGCTCCTGTGTGGGTGAGAGCAGGGTCAAGGGATGTGGTAGCAGGAAGTGGGCTGAATGGGGCAGAGATGCTGGCTTGACATCTGTGCCACAGACCCCAGTGGGGCTCATGCTCTTCATCACCCCTCCCAGTCCCTTCCCCAGGGATGCACCAAGAAATGCCATTATCCTAGCATGACAGGACCCCCTGCCCTCAACCCAGAGCCTCGTTATGGCCCCAGATTGCCAGAGGGTTGGGGGATTTCAGATCCACCACCCGGGGAGGAGGGGAAATGGGGCTGGGCAATTGCTCATGTATTCATTTCTCTTCCCCCCCCCCCCACACCCCATTGCAGTCACTCTGCTGCCCCTTGCCCTGTGCTAGGCCCCAGCATGGCCTTGCTCCCCCCATGCTCCCGCCTGTGGGTCCGTAGGCAGGATTGGAAGCCGTTGGCCCCCCGTGCCTTTCAGCTAGACTCAGCCAAGGATGCCCAGGCGGGAGTGGGTCAGTCCCTGCGAGCTGGTATGTGGGGGTGGCAGCAGCTGGCGTGGGATCGAGTTAACGGGGTCAGGCAGACGCTGCAGGGAGAGCGAGCGAGAGAGCAAGATGGATAATCGGATTGCGGCCTGGCCCTCCATTTCATTTCCTCCACCCCAGCCTGGGAAGCCCTTCCCCGGGGACCCCCAGCCAGCCGCAGAGAGGCCATTAGGTGAATAGCAGTGCCGGGGCTAGGCTCAGCTGGCTCTGCCCAGCCCCTCCTCCCCCTTTCATTTCATTACAGGGAGTACAGTGCTGCTATAAGTGTCCAGGCCTTAGCCCCGGAGGCCAACGGCCCCCCATTTATCCCCAGGGGCACGTGGCAAGGCAGGGGCCCTGCTCCCAGCTGCCCTGAGAACAGGGCAATCAGTGCACTGGAGTTACGCAGCTCCCCAAGACCCCACACAGCCCAAGGGGGAGGGGGGGTCTCAGGAACTCGGGTAGGATCTGTGCTAAGACAAAGGGGTGGCAGTGTGCCCCCCTCCTAGGCCGGGCTTGCGGGGCCCACTACTGACTCCAGTGCTGGGTAGGATGGTCCGGCTCCGCCTCAACAGGCTCTGTGGGGCTTTGCAGGGGCA